ATACCTTTGATGGCAAGAGCTAGATTCTCTAGATGATGTCAAATGATACATGCAATCAAGTAAGGAATAAAATTTATTTATTTAATTCTTCACCCCATAGATTTAAGGAAGGGGGTACAGTGGGTTGTTTGTCAAACGCAGGGATTGGTTCATTTTAAGGGCATTTACTATGATTGGTTATGTCAAAGGAGGTGATTGCTGGGTCAGGCGAAGAACAGGGAAGCACCGGCAGGCTGTTGGAAAACACTTAACTTTCTAGTAAACAGGCAGGTTGGGGTCACGACTAGTTCACAAAAACATGTTTTCTCTAGTTCCCAAAAACATGTTTTCTTCACATCCACTTTGATTCCTACAATCTTTTCTCCTTTTCTTCTGTGGGGTTCCCTTAGCTTCAAGGGAAGTAATGTGTGGAGAATTCCAATTTAAACTCTCTCTCCACACAATGTCTGACTGCAGTTCTCCATATCAACTCCAATTCCCTGCCTAAGAAAGCCGCTCTGGTGATGGCTGGACAAGGTACTGATATACAAATGTAGCAGAATAGCAGAATATCAATAGGAGTCATTTCAGTGGTTTTATTTTATTAGTTAGTTAGTTATTCTTGGTCAGTAATGCTTGGTTATATTCTAGGTCACTGTGCTATCCAGTGTTCAGTTCCTGGCCACCCAGGCAGTAAGGGGCATGTGCTCTCTTTCCTGGTGTGGGTCTGCAGTTAAACCAGGTTTTGGTTGGCCACTCCCACAAGTTCCACATCACCATTATCCCTGCACATCCTACAGGCCAGACAGATTACAGGTCCTTGATGGAGGCTTTTGTGGCTGGTTTGGTGTCCAGATTTCTCATTCTGTAGCCTACAGATTACCTTCCCATGCCAAACAGACGAGATGAAGGGTAGAAGGCTTCATGAAGGCACCAGTTTAGCCTCTCTACATCCTATGAGCTGTGTGAATGTTGTCTTTCTGTGGGACATTTTCTCGAGAAGCAAATGATATGAAAAGGTCTAGACCACAGAGGACAGTGCCATACCTGAATAGGTGGTCCTAGGAGTTTAAGAAAGCAGACTGAGCAAGCCATAGGAAGGAAACCAGTAAGCAGTGTTCCTCTATGGCTTCTGCTTCAGTTCCTGCCTCCAAATTCCTCCTTTGAATGTCTGCCCTGACTGACTTCCTTCAGTGATGGACTATAAGCTGTACTGTGAAATAAACCCTTTCCTCCAAAAGTTGCTTTTGCTCGTGGTGTTTATATGACAATAGAAAGCACAACAGGACAATCTCTAAAGCTTTTCTGATTTGTTCACATTTCCATTTATAAAATAATTATTATTGCTGTCAACATTACTTGCATTACTAGGGATTAACTCAAGGGTTTGCACATGACACCCACACATTGTACCACTGGACCACACCTGGTCTTGGTTCTCCTTTCATTAGGAAACCAGTTTTTTGCAGAGAGTAACTGTCAGTGTGGCTCTCAGCCACAAATAGAATATATACCTATAGCATTCCCCAACAAAATGGCTCAGGGACTATTGTAAAAACGAGGGACAGAAATTTTAAGAGCAGAGGTTGGGTAAGGCCAGAGTGAAAGAAATGTCTTCTGCACTTGATGGGACTTATGAACCCTCAACAGCTGTGCCTGCCTGCACAAGATTAAGCTGGTCAGCAATCCATTATAGAAGAAGGGGTTCAAAGACCCCCACACTGACATGGCAGATACTGACAGCTGATAGCTTCTTTGAGTAGGGAGAGTCCGTTTTCTTTAAGGGGATAGTGGTGTCTTTTATGTTGAATATGCTGTAGAGGATGACCCCACACTCGTGAGGATGTGGGCAGAACAAGTTGGACTACAGGGGTTATCTGAGTAGGGAAGGGAAAGAACAAGAAGCTAGAAAAAATATAATAGGGAGAGGGTATAGATCTGGGAGTAGCTAAAGACGGGAGCAGGGGGTAAATACAATCAAAATATATTGAATAAAATTCTCAAATTTTAATTTTAAGACTAAAAAATTTAACTTTGGAAGGTACAAAAATTGCAAAGCCATCAGAAGTGCTTGCTGCCCTGCTGAAGAACTGCAGTGTACTTTTCAACACTCATACTAAGTGGTTAGTAATTCCCTATAATGCCAATTTCAGGGGCTCTGATACACTCTTCTGGCTTTCTTGGACACCTGTACATATGTGGCACACACACACACACACACACACACACACACACACACACACACACACAGTAGCTTGCTCCTGTGATCACAAGTGCTCAGAAGACCAATGCAGAAGATTGCCACAAATTCAAAGCTAGCCTGGGCTACTTAATAATTTCCAGGCTAGCTTAGACTTCAGAATTAGACCCTGTATCTTAACTCAGAGTTCCTTAACTCATCATCCCCACATGAAAGGGAAGTGCTGTTACAGATATTCCTGCAAGCTTTAAGTACAAATGTATGCAGCAAAATGATCAAATTTTATTCAGAAAATGAACATCTTCTCCTCGGGATGTCAGTTAACATCTCCAATGTCTTTCTACACATAAATCAAACTGCACTTATAACAATATATAGTATTGGTTAGGGAACCGGGTTGTGCTTCTAAACAGAATCGGCAGCCTTTCTGTTTGCTGATTCATTATTCCCAGTACTTCACAGTTAAACTGTTGGTGACTTGCTCAAACAAGTGTGTATTTTTCACATATGTTTTCTGTAGCTAAAGATTTATTTCACCACAAGAGATATTCAGAACATCTGGTGGCATTGAAAATGATTCCTTCCTGATTTATTTAAGTATAATAAATGAATTTACATGACTACAATTCTGCATGTTATAGTAATAGACTTTAAGACTAATGAATCCTAGAATATGCTAAATATGCATCCTTCTCAACTTCACTGGAATGACTCTCTAATCTACTTTTTCCTTTCAGCTATTCTTCTAATTCATTACCTAATTGCCTTAGATAAAAAAGACACTTTACTTAAATGAAGCAGCGCCAGTAAAACAAATGAGGCTAACCCTTGCCTGTGATATCCATCCCAGTACTTAACCATTTATCCAAAAAAGATTATCTCTAAAGAGCCTCACGCGCATTCCTGTTCTGTCTGCCAATGACATATTCCAGAAGTATTTAATTAAATTTGCATTTGAGTAAAAACATATTTCAGCCTGTAAAAGTTTACCAAGTTTAAAGTCGGCTGGCAAATAACTTTTTAAAAAGTAAGCATTAAATATTACCTGAACTTCATGCCCAAAATTCCTCTTTGAATATTACGAAAACTCTTTAGGATGATTCAATAAGATAAGTATCCTCTGCTTCACAAGGAACAGAAAACATACAACTACAAGCATCCAGGTTGATTATTAGGAGCCTGCACCATAGTTCACTGGAGACATGGACATGACAGGAAGATGATAGCATAGGATCACACACCCCATGTCTGTTTCTTACTGGTGAGCTTTGTAGACAGTTTAGTGAAAGAGTTAGTTGTTGACAGGAGTTTTTGTCCTGCCTGGCCCCACAGCCATTTAGCTCCAAAGAAACACACAGAGATCTACATTAATTATAAACTGATTGTCCTTTTAGCTCAGGCTTCTTATTAACTCTTGTAACTTACATTAGCCCATAATACTTGTCTGTGTTAGCCATGTGGCTTGGTACCTTTTTTGGTGAGGCATTCACATCTTGCTTCCTCTGTGTATGGATGATGACTGCAGACTGACATTTCCTCTTCCCAGAATTCTCCTGTTCTGGTTGCACTACCTTTACTTCCTGCCTGGTCATTCCACATATACTTCCTGCCTGGCTACTTGCCAATTAGCATTTCATCAAAAATAATACAAGTGACAGGATAAAAGACCATTGTCCCCCAGCACTTTCCTCTTTACAAAAAAAAAAAAAAAGAAAGAAAGAAAGAAAGAAAAGCAAGAACTCTGAGAATCTAATATCCCTTGCTTGGCTTTTCTCCTGACCATTATACATAACAACTTGTAACCAACATTCTGAACAAAGGTAAACATCCATAATTCATTTGGGGAGGGGAATGTGGGTATAGTTTTCCAGGCTACTTCCTGCTAATTGGGGGCATTGATAATCTTTCTGCAGGACTGGGTGGAACAGAAACCTCTGTCAACAATTAGTTGTTTCATTAGTGCAAAGAAAAGCCGTTAGGACCCTGGCGAAGTCTGGAATGAGTAAAACTGACAGGGACTGAGTTGAACCTTGGAAATAGCTGCAGCTCGACTGCCCCAGTAGGGTACTCTGAGAGCAAAGCTCTACATTCCATCTCAGGAATGGTATTTTGCAGATCTACCAAATACACAGTGTAGATCATAAACAATGGTATTGCTTTGGAGGAGTGAATAGGAAAGCTTGATAATATCTTGTCATTCAGAATATAGAGAATTCTCACTAAGACACAAAGCATCTTGTTAGAATAGGAATATGCCCAGATAGGTCAATGGAGATTCAAGCCCAAACAATCACAAGTCTACAGGAAAGAATGGCTTATCTTTCTTTATATGACTAAAACGTTACACAAAATACACAGATCTACTCTGTGAAAACACCTTACAGCTGTAGCCAGAAGCAAGACAAGGCTTAATTGTCTCCACTCTATGGATTATGATGTCATCAGGGAGGAATGTGAGAACATCTCACATTCTCCAGTTTCTCCAGTTTCCCCTCTCCCTCTCCCCTTTCCTCCCTACTTTTTATTTTCCCCTCTTCCCTCCCTTCTCCCTCCCCACCCCTCTCTTGGACCCTCTGTGATTCAAGGCAGAAACAGAGGTTCCAAGACCTAAAGAAAAAAAAAAATAGAGCAAACCCCAACCTCTCTGTCCCTTTCTCCTCCCCAGTAAATTCTCCCAAAGCTGAGTGCACAGTTCCGGGATGATGCATCTGTAGAACCCGCCCCAAACAGGCAAGGTAGGGAAGCCAGGCCAGGGTTCACAGGAAAAAACAGGGTGATGGAGAACAGCCCACTAAGTTATTAAGATTATCAACACTTGAAAGTCGAGACACGTTTTGAAGTCAGAGGGTAACTGCCTATTAAAATCTAGAAGAGCTTCCTAGTTTTAAGTAAATACGTGTTCCATAAGTATTTTCTAATGATTTGCACAGTTTCTCAGATTATGAACTCTACTTTCCCGTTTTTTCCTCAGTGAACAGGTGCAGAGTCCTCTTTTGAAAGGACTGAGGCAATATGGCCGCACAGGGAGAGCCTCCTGTTCAATTCAAGCTTGTCCTCGTGGGTGATGGTGGTACTGGGAAGACAACATTTGTAAAACGCCACTTGACTGGTGAATTTGAAAAGAAGTATGTGGCCACCCTGGGTGTGGAGGTCCACCCCCTGAAGTTCCACACCAGCAGAGGCCCCATCAAGTTCAACGTCTGGGACACCGCTGGTCAGGAGAAGTTTGGGGGTCTGAGAGATGGCTATTACATTCAAGCCCAGGGTGCCATTATAATGTTTGATGTAACATCAAGAGTCACTTACAAGAATGTGCCGAACTGGCATAGAGACCTGGTCCGGGTGTGTGAAAATATCCCCATCGTGCTGTGCGGCAACAAAGTGGATGTTAAGGACAGGAAAGTGAAGGCGAAATCCATTGTCTTCCACCGCAAGAAGAACCTTCAGTATTATGACATTTCAGCAAAAAGCAACTACAACTTTGAGAAGCCCTTCCTCTGGCTCTCCAGAAAACTCTCTGGAGACCCTAACTTGGAGTTCGTTGCCATGCCAGCTCTAGCCCCACCTGAGGTGGTCATGGACCCAGCGTTGGCAGTGCAATATGAGCGTGACTTAGAGGCGGCACAGACCACTGCCCTCCCAGATGAGGAGGACGACCTGTAAGCCAGTGAAGTTCTGAGGATAGCAGAAGCCGAGATGTGCAGGCAACAGACCTGTGATGTCAGCAGTGTGGCCTGTGTGTCACCTTGCTGCTCAGTTAAGGACACTCACGGTCCGTGTCTGAAGTGCTGAAAGAAAAGACTTTAGAGTGAAGGTGGCTGTTACAAAACATGGCTTCAGTTTCGGACTTGAAGGTTTGGCTATCTGGGATGTAGTTGTTTCTTCCCTGAGGTTCAAAAATAAGCTCTGCAGTCACATCCCGTATTCTGTGACAACATCTTGTTATTGTAATTCCATTCCTTTCATTTAGAATAAAGTTTCATTTCAAAAGCCAAAACAAAATTTCAGAATATAAAGAGAATGTAAAAGAAAAATATCTTCTAGAACAAAAGATATTTTGTTTCACAAAAGACTTCTTAAGAAACATGGATTTTCATTCTTTCATCTGAAAATAATTTAATTTTCAGTGACCTCTTAAATATTAAGGATCAACAGTTACAAACTTGTGATATTTAATGACTCCTATATTAGCTGTGTGGTTCGATGCAGGGTAGCATACATGTTTGAAAGTCTAATGCAATGTACCAAGCTATATGCAACAGTGCGAGACCTGGCAGATTAGATGAATCAGAGGTTTTTTTTTTTAATTTGATTTTTCCCTTGGACTCTGCTGGGATATTGGGAATATATATACATATATATGTATATATATGTGCACTATAAATATTCATGTTTACACACACACACACACACATATATATATGTATACATCATATACATATCACAGTCAAGTAAAAAGTACAATGTGAGCCAAAAGTTTGATTCAAGAATGTGTCGATGCATTTGCAATATAATCATGAAAATGAGATGCTCATGGGACACAGGAAAAGCCAGCCAGTTCTCTTTTGCTCCTACCTATCTTAATGTCTGTCATGGCCATCCTAACATGCTCTGCTTAGGCTTGGAACTCTGTGTCTGGCTCATATCCTGAAAGGCAAACTGGTGCATTTGGAATGAAAAGCAAAGAGGAATTGCCATTTGGCAAATACCACAGTAAAAACATCTTTCAGGCCAAGAGCATCAGGAATGTTAAAGAGTAAACATAAAATAAGTTATGCAGACCCAAAACATTACTTATATAAGATATTTATGAAAACAAAAGAAATAATGTGGAAAAAAAGAAATAAAAAAATTAAAAAAAAAGAAATAATGGGTTTGCAATGTGAAACCCTAATTGAGCAGAGCTAATGTCATCAGGGATAGGAGGAATGAAAAACATTAACATTTTGGTGGGATTGCTGTCCAGACTGACTAACATAAAGTCAGTCAAACCCAAACTGACAGTCACTCTACAGAGTGTTAAGCAAGTACTCTCCAAATGAGTCAGTGTCATCAAAGAGAAGCACAGGAAATCAAATGTCAGAATGCATGAAGCCTCAGAAGTACAGCCCCAGAATGGCTGGAATGAAGTGAGGCTTGTCTTCAATGCAGAGGATAATATAGACAATTGGAAATTTTAAAATATGCATCAATATGAAGCCCCTCATTTTAATAACCACGTTGTGGCTTTACAAGGGAATACTTCAGGACCTATTCACTAATACTTTTGTGGCCTGTAGAGACATGAACTCCTCCAAATAAAGTGGAGTGAATTGTGTTAGAAAGATGAATATAAAAATACTACCTCCTAACGACTGGAGTGTCTTCATGAAACAACCATGAGGATGCTTTGTGCTACTCTTCAAACATTCAAGAAATTATGTCCAAATGAAAAGGAGTATGCCATGAAAAGTAAGCCTTATGTGGAATGTAGAATTTTAAAAAGAAAATACAAACAGAAACAAAAACTCCAACTCTAATTTTTATTAGTAGAACAGAATAAGAAATGTCCCTATGAAAAGCTAGAGTCTTGCATCCCTGCTATCATATCTTGGGGTGAAAACCAAAGATCTTAGTGTAGAATGGTTAACTGGGTGGTGGTACTGTTAGGGAAGTGGGTAAAGAGGGCACGTGGGAGGCAAATTAACCTGAGGCTGCACAGGAGGAGAGGTCAGAATCAGTTCTCTGTATTAACCAAAACCTCCTCTAGTCCTTCTCGGCCAAAGCTCCAAACCTGAGAAGCCATCGTGAATTTTCCAACCAACTGGATTTTGCAGTAGAGAGGTTGGGCCAGTTAACCTTAGATATCAAAAGAGATCATAAAAAATTGATGTCTTTAAGCAGTATAGTTTTTGGTTGTTTTTTTTTATGAAGCAACACGTTATAAAGAAAGGCTTACATATACACATAATTATTTCATTCATTCAAAAAGCATTGTGTTCAGTAACTAAGAAGGATTACAATAAGCTCCTAGCTGTTTATTTCAGTGTCACTGAAATAAAAATCATATACATGTGACGGGAAAGAACACATCACATCTATAAAACATAATGAGAATGAGTTTCATAAAAGTAATGAACTGAAGTCAAGGGATCATGGGAAGTCACTGAAAATGGGAGAAACAAGATGTGTGATATCTCATTACAATCACATGCAGCATAATGTGAGCTCTACAGAGAGAGCATAGTATGAGCCATACAGAGAACCGGATGTCAACTCCTGAGAGAACATGATTATTGTTGACTTTACATGAGAAGGTGTAACCTTAGTCAAAGACTGGAGCCCACACTTAATTGTCAACTTACACCTAGGAAGTCTTTGGTTGTCTTATAATTTTACTGCCTACCACATGAGCTGCCATCTATTATTATTCTAAATGTTTCCAGAAAGGAAGAAAGGGAGAAAGGGTAAGGGAAGAAGGTAGGAAGAAGAAAAAGGGGTGTTGTCCCTTAGCCAGCATTCTCCACTTCCACACACCTGCACACACAGTGAGTCTCGAACTTCTCGACATCTTAAACTACCTAGAAATTTATAAAATCTTTATTCCCACGCTCCTTTTTTACATCTAAGTTAGAACTTTTGAGTGGACTCAGCACAAAAATTTCAACAAAAAGTCAACTTTGAAGACAGATTTTCCCATCACATTTCACCCTTGCATTGTGACACGAGGAAGGCATTCCCTGAGTAATTTTCTACACAGACTTTTCAATATTAAATATAAAAATTAATATAAATTCTGATTCAGCTAGATAATATTTAAAAAAAGAAGAGGATATTCAAGTCCATGCCTAAACATCATTGAAGATTACAGAAAATACAGCTTGAAAACTCAGATTCCATCCCTATGTACTGACAAAGCATGTAAGGGGCAATACCACTGTTATTTGCTCAGTAGACTATCCAGGATAAAGATTTTAAGATGAGACAATCTGTTTAGATGACTGCTCTATCATACGTTGTTCAATGAAAATGTATATTAGGTCCTAGGTCTGGGCATTGGCTTAGCACCAAAATGGAGAGTATTTTCCAAATAGTGATTTTGTTGTTTCTGATGAATTAAGAAGAATGCCATGGAATTGGTAACTTAGAAAATGCTATAGAAAAATCCAGATGTGGGTACACCATATTTAGTATTTTATGAGACGTTGATCACCCATACTAAGTAACCTCCCATTTTTCTCCCAAATGTAGGTGACGGTCTGACATGTCCTACTGAATATCTCACTGATTTCATTTAAGAATCTCCCTTTGATTTTATGATTTTTTTATGTTGTGATTTTTGTATGTCGGATTATACATTTCATCTTTATTCTTAGAACATTGTCCTAAATCTCTGCTCATCTCTATTTGATTTCACTCAACTGAACTTCTATACAATTTTATTTGACACTATGCTTACCATTTACTTCTCTCCTTCCTGCTTTGGCTTATACATCCCCTTTGCGTGCACCTGCATTATCCTCTATCTGTCCTTTCGTTTCACTCATTACAATTTAAAGGCAAGTTCAGTACCTTTCTCCTCCTTCAATTTATAAGTTTCTGGAGTAAAATCCAAGTTTTTCTTATATCTTATGACATTTCATAAATTCAACAACATTCTTGGTAGTTACTAGAAACAGTGAATAAGCCTATGAATGAGTAAACAGACTAGGAAAAGCAGTTCCACTGATATTAAAGACAGTTTGCATTCTAGAGTCCAGCAGGATTCTCATGCTGAATGCACCACTTCCAAAGAGAGAGTGAGAGGAAGAGGTGTGATGGAACTGGAGCTTCATGATTCCACTATCAATGAAAACATTGCTTTTGACAGAATTCTTGGATCTTTCTGTCTTTTTGGGGCCTGGAATTCCTGCCACAGTTCATGGCTGGTATGGAACCATCTTGAAATTCACTATCTCTTGGAAACACAGTTTCCATCCTTAATAAGTTATATTTTAAGATGAAGGCTTAACTTGCCACATTCTTGGGGCATTTTATTGTGCATGCTATCTATACGATATCCTTCTTCTTCTATGTGGGATTATTCATAGCAACTTCACACCACAAGTTATGGTGTAGTACCATAAGTACAATAATAAACAGAAACGAAAAAATATGGCAACCAAACTGTACAGAAAGGGACTTTCTGTGCTGCTACTAATATGTTCAGAATGTCCACAGACTATGATTACATAATAAAATACTGTAGGTAATCCATTTAACTAAATTCTTTTTTACAGATAATGTTATTTTATTTTGATAACCTTCTTACAAGAGCATTTGACTTTTCCCATTACATATATGAATAAAAAGTTAGAAAAATTTTAAAATGTCATCTGCCAAATATATTATTACTTATAGCTAATAGCTGAGGTTTCTCTTTTAGTATGTATTATGTGAAATCAAATTTCACATAAATTTGTGCATTTGTGTGTGAGGGAGCACATGTGTGCATGAATGCCGAAGGTTGCCATCAACTGTCATGTTTATCACTCTCCACATTGGGTACTATAAGTAGGCAGAAGTTTCCTGTCCTGACCACTCAGTCCCAAATAACCTCTCTAAGACTTATACATGTTATAAATGCTCAGTCAATAGCTCAGGCTTATCACTAACTCCTGCACTTAAATTAACCCTTATTTCTTATTTATGCTTTGTCATGTCTCATGATCTGTTATCTCATTTTCTACATGTGCTACTTCTTTGGCAACTGTCACCTCCACTGACTCTATCTCTCCTCATCCCAGCATCCTCAGTATAAATTTCCACATGACTTTATCCTGCCTTTCTATAGGCCAATCAGCTTCTTTACTAACAAATGAGAATAATATATATTCACAGTATACAGAAAGATTATTTCACAGCATATATTCACAGGTAGGAGCTCCCATTTAAAACCAGTATTCAACAGTTCAATCTAAGTAGCTAGCCAGCTTGGTGTAGTGAGCCTCTATTTCTGTCTGCCTGTTGTATAACACTTCCTTCCATAATAAAACATTTTATGTCAAAGGGAAGTTCATCTAAAGGGATACAAAAAATTCTATCCTGCTAGGAAACTCATTAAGTTCAGAAAGTAAACAACTCAAAAGTTCAAAAAGTCCCTGAAACTGATCAGACTCACTAGGCACTTCCCTCTCTAAATATGTACTTGTAGTAGGGACTGCTGTGTAGGCAGAGGCTGCTCTTTAGTTTCCTGACCACTCAGATTCAAATAGTCACACAAGAACTATATTAACTGAAACACTGTTTGGCCAATAACTTAGCCAATTTCTAGCTAACTCTAACATCTTAAAATAACCCATTTCTATTAATCTGTGAATTGCCATGAGTCTATGGCCTACTGGTAAGGTTCTGGCTGGTGGCTGGTGGCTGTCTCCTTTGGCAGTTACTTGGTTTCTCCCTGACTCTGCCTAATTTTTCTCTATATCTCTGCTTGGATTTCCCACCTGGCTTTACTCTACTAAGCCATTGGCCAAAACCGCTTCTGTAATAACCAATAGTAGTAAAACATATTCATAGCATACAGAGGGCAATCACACATCACTGCTGAGTGAGACAGACAGCTGGAGCTGCCTGAAAGAGATAGCAAAAAGCTAGCCTTACCTGAAAAGGCTCAGACCAACTGAGCACCTGCAAAAGACTCTCCCCAGACTGATGAGCTGCCTCAAAGAAGTGCACTGAATTCCCTCTTTCTAGTTGGATGAGCTATCACCAATACTGGGATGAGCTTCTAATGATGCATCTGTTCTTGAGTAATTTCTGCTCCTATAAGTAACCTCTTACCTATATTCCTGTAGTAATTCCAATGAAACTCATTGAGTCACCAAATTGGGATTGGGTGCACCCTTACGTTGGTCTGTTATTAGTTACCTATTTGGAGTAAGGAGATGTTTATTCAATTCTCTACAAAACTAGTACCACACAACACTTGGAAATGATGAGATTATAATGTGCGTATCCATCATTTCTGTAGATTCTAAGTATCTTAACTCCAGGCCTCATGGCTTTACCCACTGAGAAATCTCCCCAGTCCCACACTGAAGTCTCTTTATGGATATACAACTTCAGTACTATTAGGTAAAAATTGCTCTGATTCTAGACCCTAATGATACAATCTGTAGTTCCCTTTATGGCAAGGACTGCACACTTTACTTCATCTCCTTTGGAATCCTGCAGGTGAGTTTACTGAATGTGATCACACAGAGGCTCCCCTTGCAAACATAAGCTAAATTAGATCATTGAAACGTATTCCAAATTTTACAGATAACAACTCCATTTTCTGCAACAATAAAAACATACAATATATTTATAAATAACTTTAGTATCAACCAAGATCATAGCATTTTGGCTCTACAAACCCATATAGAATGGCAATAGCCATCTATTGTAAATATCTTTACAAAATAGACAATAGTTTTTCTTTAATAGTATCTCCAGAAAGCTCATCTTTTAAAGGACTGTCAATATTCTTTGTACCATTTATTTTAAAGCTGTTTCCAAGCAATTGGGTAGATATAAGATTACTATAATAATATTTTTGTTTTATTTAAACAATACAAGTATTGTCCTTACTACAGTAAAAGATATCTGTTAATAAAAACAGAGCACAGGATTTGTTTTTGCTTAATGATGAGTTTTGGAATTTTATAAGACTCATTCATTTTCCAATTATGTTAAACTATTACTTTAGCTATTTTAAATTGCAAGTATCAAAGTAGAAGAAGAGATTTTCAATGTCTGCAAAGAAACAACAATGATCCAGCTGCTGTAAACTATAAGAACTGAGTAGCACGTTTCCCTCCTTCTCTTCCTTCCCACACACAGCTAAATCTAAATCTAGATTTCCTCCAGGGTTCAGTGT